TTGTTTCCTGACTTTTTAGTGATTGCCATTCTAACTGGTGTGAGATGGTATCTCATTGTGGTTTTGCTTTGCATTTCTGTGATGATCAGTGATGATGAGCATTTTTCATGTGTCTGTTGGCTGCATAAATATCTTCTTTTAAAAAATGTCTGTTCATATCCTTTGCCCGCTTTTTGATGGGGTTGTTTGATTTTTTCTTGTAAATTTGTTTAAATTCTTTGTAGATTCTGGATATTACCCCTTGGTCAGATAGGTAGATTGCAAAAATTTTCTCCCATTGAATGTACTTTTTATTTTATTAATTGAATTGACTTATGGGATTTCTGTTTGGTTCTTTTCTTAATGATATCTTAATGATATCTATCTCTTTAATACATTTCTCATTCATCTCAAAATTGTTTTTCTGATTTCTTTCTATTGGTTATCTGTGTTCTCTTCTACCTCATTGAGTTCCTTTAATATCATTATTTTCAATTCTGTTTCAGGCATTTCAATAATTTCTTTTTCACTGAAATCTGTTGCTGAAGAATTATTGTGTTCTTTTTGAGGTGTCACATTTCCTTGCTTTTTCATGTTTCTTGTGTCCTTATGTCTGTCACCTTGTGTAACAGTCACTTCTCTCAATTTTGTGGATTGGCTTTTATAGAGCAAAACATTTTCCTGAAGATGCTATCTATGATGTTGGTTGGATAGGGCACTTTTTAAATTAAAAAGAAATTTTTTTTTGGTGGAGACAGTGTCTCACTGGGCTTTAACCAAGGCTGGCCTCAAATGTCTGATCTCAAGTGATCCTGCCACCTTCACCTCCCAAAGTGCTGGGGTATAGGCATGAGTCACCATGCCTACCCTGGGTTGGGCATTTTAGCTTTGATTCTGGGTGTATGCAGTGGTATATAGCCTCTCTATAATTTTTTTCAGCTATAAACAGTGTCAGTGATGTCCGTCATTTCCTCAACGGCTTAGGCTGTAGTTGCTGGTGGATGCTGCTATGAGGCTTCGCTGGGGACAGAGACCTTGAGTCAGTCCTTGGCCTCATTAGTGACAGCAATGGCTGAGCATGCCTATCCGTGGGCCCCTAGGGGATATATGTGAGCATCAGGATTAGTGAGTCCAGGCAGGCTAATCCTTGGGCCTCTAGGTGGTTTGCTTGAGTGCTGGCCATGGTGCCAACAGGTAGGTGTGTCCTTGAGCCACCAGACAGTGTACATGATGTGGGCAATAAAAGTCGCAGTGGTGAAACAACCCACAGGCTCCCAAGTGGCATGCACTGGTGTTGGTAGTGGCTGCAACTGGCTAGCTGAGTTCATCCTCCAGGACCCAGGAAGACTGCACAGATGCCTGTGGCGGTGGATGGGGCAGGATGAGCCCGTGGCCTTTGGGTGTCATGCTTTGGTGCTGGTGGCAGGTTTCTTGGCCTATTGTGAGGTCCCCTGGTGATGTCCATGCATGCCCAAGGCAACTGATGGGGCAAGGTAATCCCCAGGCCCCTGGTTGGCATTTTTGTGCACTGGTTCCAGGCTGAGAGGGCTGGTTCTCAGATCCCCCAGTGGTATGCATGGGCACATGCTGTGGCAAGCAGGGTGGGGAAATCCTCAGGACCCCAAATGGTGTGCCTAAGTGGCATTAGCAGCAATGGCAGTTGGCAGGGAGAGCCTGTCCTCAGGGTGCATGCAACTGTGTGGCAGTCTTGCCACTGGGTAGGATTGAGTTGCTCTCAGTGGCTGTGGCCCCAGGAGAGTGGCTCTCAAGCTCTGGTGAGCACACGCTTCAGCCTCTGGTGGTGGTGACAGATGATGAGAGCTTGTTCTCAGGGCATGTGCAAGCGCACAGTAGCCCTCCTGCTTATGGGGGCAGGGTTGCAGCAATGGCAATGGACTCAGGCATTCTGGGTTTTGGGTACTTCATGCTTCAACACTGTTTGTCCCAGGGGCAGCCTCTCCAGTGTGCTGTACCACCCATTCTCCAGCATGTTGAACACTTGAGCACTAGGGATCCTGCCACACTGTTGGACCCAAGTAGGACTGCACTTCTGCAGCCCACTGCATAGATGGAGGGGGATGTCAGTGGGGCTCTAGGAGTGGAAAGGTAGGGATGTTGGGCCATACCAGCCTGGCCAACATGGAAAAAGCCCATCACTACTAAAAATACAAAAATTAACCGGGCCTGGGGGTGCATGCCTATAGTCCCAGCTACCTGGGAGGCTAAGGCAGAAGAATCACTTGAACCCAGAAGGCAGAGGAAAAAAGGCACTATGCCGCATCCGCTTGGTTCTCACCGTGTGTGTGACTCAGCATGAGCTCTCTCTTTAGAGCAATGCCACTGGTCAGGGCCTGTGAGGGTGGCTCTCCCATGGCTAGGATTGCAGCAATCTATGGTGGGAATGTGGACTTCTGGGGACTTCTCACTTACCCTTTTCCCACACAGGGGAGCCTCTCTGGACTTTATCAATCCTAGTTAGGTCAGCTGCCTCCTTTCCCTTTCCTTCTCTGCCTCAGATGTTTCCTGTTAATTCTCTGCTGAATTCTAGTGCTCCTGATTAGATGATCTATTTGAAATATGATTATCAATTCTCAAATTTGTTTTTTTGTATGTATTGAAAGAGTGCCAGATATCTTTAAGACAGCCATCTTTGAGCCCCCTTTCCTGTCATTTTTTTTTTAACTCCAATACATCACTTCTGTCAACCATCGCCTGTGTGCTAACATTCTGGAATATACTACACGTCCATATTTTAAAGTCCCAGCAATAAAATTCTGTAAATATTTTTTATACAATTGCTTTTTATATCAATTAAGAGTTAAAATTAAGAGTAGAAAGAAGTGAAGTAAGCATTTATGTGGTCTTTCAGAGTTATAGAATTCCTTTAACCCATGTTCATTTTATGGGTTCAAGTTAGTGTCAGAGGTCAATGGTTTTCAACCCGAAGAACTCTGTATTTCTTGGAAAGCAGTTCTGATAGGAATAAATTTTCTTATTTAAAAAAGCCTATTTAGAAATATCTTCACGTCACCTTCATATTTAATAAATAGTTTTGCTGGATATAAGATTTTTGGTTAACAGTTATTCATTTAGCTCTTTGAATGTGCTGTCCCAATGCCTTCTGGCCCTAATAGTTCCTAATGATAAGTAGTCAGTTTTTAATTTTAGTGGGGTTCTCTTTACATCATGTATTAGTTTTCTCTTGCTGCTTTTAAGCTTTTCTCTTTATCTTTCAACATTATTACTATGAATGTGATTATAGATTCCCTTGTGTTTATTCTACTTAGAATTAATTGAGCTTGGATGTGTAGACTCATTTGTAATTAAATATTTTTCAGAAAGTTTTCATCCATATTTTTGCTGCTCCTTTTTCTCTCTGTTTTCTTTCTAGTGTTCCTAATACTTTAAGTTTTTTAATTCTTTCTTTGGACAGTTGAAATGTACTTGAACCCCTCTAGTAAATTTTACTTCCAGTTTTTGTACTTTTTAACACTGTAATTTCCATGTGGCTCTTTGTAAAATATTTTATATCTCTTTGTAGATATTTTCTATTTGATGAAACATTGTCATCATACTTTCCTTTTCTTGTTAGAGAATGGTTTCCTTTAGTTCTTTCAATATATTTATACTGACTGCTTTGTAGTCATTGTCTGCTAAGTCTAACAGCTAGGATTCTCATAAGCTGTTTTTTTTTGTTTTTGTTTTTTTATGTTTTTTGTTTTTGTTTTTTTTGCCTGCTTTTCTTCTGTGTATGGGTCATACTTTTTTCCTTATTAGAATAACTCACATTTTTATGCTGAAAACTGGGCATTTTAGACACATAATGTAGCAACTCTTAATTTTGATTCTTCTCCTCTTCTTCCTGGGGTATGTTATTATCGTTTGCTTATTTATTTGTTCAGTGATTTGGCTTGATTATTTTACCGAAGCCTATTTCCTCTGTGACATGGTTTGCGTGTTTTTCTTGTGCAAATCTCATGTTGAAATGTAATCCCCATTGTTGGAGGTGGGACCCTGTGGGAGGTGTTTGTGTCACGAGGGCAGATCCTTCTTCTCCATGGAATGGTGCTGTTCTCACAATAGTATATGAGTTCTTGTGAGATCCAGTTGTTCAAAAGTATGCAGCACCTTCCCCCTTTTTTCTCCTGCTCCTGCTCTTGTCATGCAATGTGCCTGTTCTGCTTTACTTTCTGCCATGAGTAAAAGTGCCCTGAGGCCTCCCCCGAAGCCAAGTAGATGCTGGCACTATGCTGGTACAGCCTCTTTTCTTTATAAAGAACCCAGTCTCAGGCATTCCTTTACAGCAACCCAAGAATGGCTCAATACATCCTGCACTGTGAAGCCTCTAATGTTCCTCCAATAAAACAGCCTTGGGCATGCAACAATCACCTCTGGAAGACAGTGGTTTTAGAGGGTCCTCTTTGAGTATGTCTTTTGCTTATTTCTCTATTCACCTGTCTGCCTTCCTTTGTATCACACCAGAGATCAAAGGGTGTTTTGCCTGACACTGCTACTCTTGTACCAAAGGCAGTAGTATAATATCTGAACTATATTACACAACTAAAGGATTCTGCCATAGTTGAAAGATTACTATGCCTAACATTTTAAAGTACAGAGGGAATTATTAAGATTAAAATAACTGTCTTTTTCCCTTACTTATTGCACTCATCAGATAGCCTTTCTGCTTTTGCAACTTTAAAGTAACTTTCTATCTAAACTGTAAATAGAAAGGGACTAAAATAACTTTGAACATACCTGTCCCAAGTATATTCTAAGCTCACTATACTATATTATTTTGTAGATTACTTTCTAAATGGATGAGTCCTAAAAGTAATAATATCTAGCTAGCTTTACATTTCTAGTAAATATGTTCTAGAGTACAACCAAATATGGGAGGGTATTCATGAGAACCCGTGCCCATGTCATAATAACAAGTGGGTACTATTGCTACTAAAGATAGACACTTAAACTTTGAAGGAGAAAAATAAATGAGGAATATTAGACTTAAAATATTTTCTTACCAGGGAAACTCTTTGGCTGTGTCTTGAATTCATCATTTAATAAGCGTCTTCCCAAAGCACCTCTCAAGCTTTCTATATCAGTCTCTATAGAAATAAATAGATTTAAAAATACTTGGCAAGGTAATCCATACATGGGAATGTGAGGGATGAGAGAGAGAGAGAGAGAGAGAGAGAGAGAGAGAGAGAGTGTGTATTAATCAGCCTTTGGTATTAATGAATAAAAGTTATAGTGAAATGTCTGAATTGCCAAATCACTAAACATTAGGAGTGGAAGTTCTGTTAGCAATCATATAAGCCTTAGTGTATTGAGGCATAGAGATGTATAATGATTTGACCAAGACCACATATCGAGGTGATAACAAAGTTGTTGCACAAACTGATGCCTCACAATACTTTAACAGTGCTTTCCCCACACAATGTTATCTCTAATGCAAAATTAAAATATCCTACAGAATTTATGATAATAACATGACTTTAAAGTTTACATTGAATCACATTCATACCATAGGGATACACCTGGTAAGATGAAACATAACTTTGTTTTTCACCTAGCAACTTGAAAACAATGATCTTCATAATCACAGGAAATTATTATAGTGCAGAAATACTTTGACTCATCCAGAAATACTTTAATGCAATTTTTAGGTTAACTTTAAACTAAGTAAGCATCAGGGATGGAAAATAATAAGATATCTTGTAGATTGAGGAAAACATGCCCCCTTAGGTCCCCTTACCATGTGGACCTCGTAGCTTAGGATATGATTAAATTTGCAGAAATACAAGAAGTAAAATTGGGTACTTTTCCATTTGAGTTTTTACATAATTTGACTTTTTTGTTGGATTTGGTAGTCTAACCATGTTTAATAACAGGGAAAATACCTGAAAGTTATTAAGGAGGAATTTATGTTAGAAAGGGTGATTACGATTGATGAACTAAAGTCAACTACTGGGACTAAAGTTTTGTCAGTGAAACCTAGTTCCAGCAGCACATGTGCCTGCTATAAACCTGTAAACACTGGAAACTAAAACCAGTTGTTATCTAGACATAATAGATGGATGTCTTTTTATTTTTTGAGAAATAGTTAAATTCATGAATAAATGTTAAAATACCTGAAAGTTATTAATGGGAAATTTATATCAGAAAGTAGTGATTAGGAATGTATATCATACTATATAATTTACACATTTAAAGTGTTCAATTAAATGGTAGTTTCAATGGTAGGAGGGGACAAACATCCAAACCATATCAAAAACATACTGGAAGAGGGACACACAAATGAAAAGAAGAATATAAAAAGCCACCACTTACAAAGCTAAGAAATAACATAGAAAAAATACACAAAACAATTAGAAGACACCAAATTAACAAGAACAAATTCTTATCTATCAATAACAATCTTGAATGTAAGTGGTTTAAATTCCTGAATTAAAAGACATAGACAGACTGAATTGATAACAAAAAACCAAGAAGCAACTAGGTGATGCCTACAAGAAATTCATTTTACCTGTAAAGACACACATAGACTGACAGCGAATGAATCGAAAAAGATTATGCACACAAATGGAAACTAAAAGTTCAGAAATAGCTATACTTACAACAGACAAATAGACTTTAAATTTTAGAAAGGAGACAAAAAGATTAGTATATAATGATATAGACATCAATCCAGAGATTGATATATAAAAACTAACCCTAGATAACCCAGTTCTAAACAGAAATTATTATTAGAGCTAAAGAGAGAAAGAGTCCCCAGTACAATAATAGTTAGAAACTTCAACATCCCACTATCAGCACTGGATATCATCTAGACAGAAAATCAACAAAGAAACATTAAACTTAAACTGCACTATATATCAAATGGACCTAACAGACATTTACAGAACATTTCCTCCAACAACTAATGAATATATATTCTCATCATTGCTCTGCCTTTTGGCTAAGATCAAGTACGGAATACACATTCTTCTCATTGGCACATGAAAGATCACATATCAGGCCACAAACAAGTCTAAACAAATATTAAAAAGTCAAAATCATATCAGTTATCTTCTCAAATTATGGTGAAATAAAACAAGGTATCAATGTGATTGGACTGAAGGATGCAAAGTATTATACCTGGGTGTATCTGTGAGGGTGTTGCCAAAGGAAATTAACAATTGAGTCAGTGGACCAGAAGAGGCAGATTCACCCTCAATCTGGGTGGCCACCACCTAATCAGCTGCCAGTATGGCCAGAATAAAAGCAGGCAGAAGAATATGAAAGACTAAACTGGCTTAGTCTCCCAGCCTACATCTTTCTCCTGTGCTGGATGCTTCCTGCCTGCGAACATCAGACTCAAAGTTCTTCAGCTTTTGGACTCTTGGACCTACAACAGTGGTTTTCCAGGGGCTCTCAGGCCTTCTACTGCACTGTCAGCTTCCCTACTTTTGAGGTTTTGGAAATAGGACTGGCTTCCTTGCTCCTCAGCTTGCAGATGACCTACTGAGGAACTTCACCTTTTGATCATGTGAGTCAATACTCTTTAATAAACTCCCTTTTGTCTATATATCTATCCTATTAGTTTGGCCCTCTAGAGAATGCTAATACAGATTTTGGTACTGGGAGTGGTTCTAGAGTAACAGAATTTTAAGGATGCAGTTTTTAATTGTCTTTGGGGTTTCTGGGGTTGCCTGCTTAATATGATTAGACCCCAAAATGCTAAGGACTCTACTTCTAATAGTATGGAGAACACTGATAGTTCTTGGTGTGAACTGTTTAGAGAATTATGCAAAATAAATGCATTTGATACTCGTGATTCACTGCTCAAAAGATGCAAGGAGTTTAGTAACTCTGCACATAATACCTTTGACCATATGTGAGGAACTAAAGAATGTAATGAAGTTGGTTGGTTGCTCCTAAGTTCATTAGACAATGTGATAAAAGAAAATGAACTCGGGGATTCTATCTCCTGGCTCTAGAAGCACATACTGACCTCAAATCTTCTAAGATTGCCCTGAGAGTCTTATCTCCTGTAGACCAAAAAAAAAAAAAAAGGAAAAAGAAATTGTGGAAAATCAGACACAAGCTCTTATCCTGTGAGTGGTTGACCTGCAACAAAAGGTGCATGCACAGCCTCACCAGGTATCTACTATTAAAGTGAAGACATTGATTAGAAAAGAATGGGACCATGCAACTTAAAATGGGGACATGTGGGAGGAGCCTGATGAAGCTGGAGGCACTGAGCTCCTAAATTCTGATGACACTTTTTGGGTGGAGGAAACAGCCTCCCCACTCCAAGTGGTGGCAACATCCCCTCCCCAATCTACAACCCATGCTGCCATCAGCCTTTCCACATTTGCTGAGGAAATTAACCCTGCACTGCCTGAGGTAACAGTGATGGCCTCCCTTGGGGATTATGCCAGGCAAGACAACGCTGATTTTCCTCAGGACCCACCCCCAACACCCTTGATCGCTTCTAGACCTATAATTAGGCTAAGTCCTGGCAGACCCCTAGAGGTGAGGTTCAAAGTGTAACCCACATGGAAGTGCACTACACTCCAAAAGAACTGCTTGAGTTTCTAATTTATTTAAGCAGAAATCTGGAGTGCAGGCATGATAATGAATAGTAAGGGTGTAGGATAATAGTGGAAGGAACATAAAGTTGGAACAGGCTTAATTTATTGATTTAGGCCCACTAAGCAGGAATTCTCCATTTAATGTTGCAGCTTGGGGAGTTAAAAAAGGTTCTAATAGTTTATTTGCTTGGTTAGCTGAAATATGGATTAAAAGATGGCCCACTGTGAGCAAGCTGGAAATGCCTGATTTCTCTTGGTTTAATGTAGAGGAAAAGGCTAAGGCTAAGGGAGATCAGGATGCTAGAGTGGATTAGTCACTTTAGACCGATTTATTCCAGCTGGGAGGGTGCAGAAGACATACCCTTGACCAATACTTTGTGAAATAGATTTGTGAGGGCAGCACCTGCATCCTTGAAGAGCTCTGTGATTGCTCTTCTCTGTATGCCAGATCTTACAGTGGGAACCACAGTCACTCAACTATAAAATTTAAATGCAATGGGAATAATTGGATCCCAAGGTGGCAGGGGCCAAGCAGTAGCACTCAACCATCAAAGCCAAGGTGGGCATAGTTACTGCAATGGACAGCAGAGGCAAAGCAGCAATCAGAATAGTCTGACTCATGTAGAGCTCTGGCATTGGCTAATCAATCATGGTGTTTCTAGAAGTTAAATTATTAGGAAGCCCACTGCATTCTTTCTTAATTTATATAAGCAGAAAAATTCCAGGTTGAGTGGACAAAAGACTAATTTGAATTATAAAAACAGAATCATGGAGCCTCAACCAATTTCCAGACTTGAGCCAGTTTACAGACCCAGAACCCCTTGAATGAAGGAAAGGCTGGGTCATTTGAGGAAGGACCCCACTACACTACCAACAGTTTATGCTGTTAATCTTTCTTCAATCTTTCCCCAAGAAGACCTCCAGCCTTTTACTAGGGTAACTGTGCACAGGGGAAAGGGAAATAATCAGAACTTTCAGGGACTACTGGTCACTAGCTCTGAGCTGACATTGATTCTGGAGGACTCAAAATGTTATTTTGATCCTCCAGTTAAGGTAGGGGCTTATGGAGGTCAGGTAATTAATGGAGTTTTAGCTCAGATCCAACTTAGAGTGTGGGTCCTTGGACTCATCCCATGCTCATTTCCCCAGTGCCAGAAAGCATAATTGACACAGACATACTTAGCAGCTGGCAGAACCCCCACATTGGCTCCCTGACTGGTAAAGTGAGGGCTGTTATGGTGGGAAAGGCCAAATGGAAGCCATTAGAACTGCCTCTACCTAGAAAAGTCATAAATCAAAAATAACATCGCATCCCTAGAAAAATTGCAGAGATCAGTGCCACCATCAAGGACTTGAAAGATGTAGGGGTGGTGACTCCCATCACATCCCTGTTCAACTCTCCCATTTGGCTGTGTAGAAGACAGGTGGATCTTGGAGAATGATGGTGGATTATTGTAAGCTTAACAAAGTGGTTACTCCAACTGCAGCTGCTGTATCAGATGTGGATTCATTGCTTGAGCAAATTAACA